CATGGATTTAACTGTGTGCAAACACGTTGTGCAATTGTTTACTTTTTATTGCCACAGAACCCAGAGAAGTGTGTCTTGTTATTGGTTCACTTGTCGTGGCTCGTACTGCAAGCAAGTCATTACAATCAAGGGCTATAGTGGCCGAATGAGAAGCAATAGAGTAAGTATTTGAAGGGGCTGCAGGTGAGAGCAGCTGGAGGACAGAACAAGGGTTTCTCCTTCTCTGTGAGTGACAGCACGGGCAGCTTCTCAACCTCTGAGAGTCAAGGGTTGTAGGATTCAGGCAACAGTCCGACGGCAACTCCTCTGTCAATAACTCACTTCCTACGAGCCACGGACAAGACGTGGGTTCAACAGGATATTCAGGAGCCTGTGCTGTAAGTCAGATCCCCAGCCACTGGGCACAAAATGACCCAACGTCACTTAACTGGGCTGACAATTATTATTTATTTATTTCATCAAGGTTTTCTTTGCTCGTCAAGGGATGAAAGTCAGAACAATTTTTTCAATGAATTAATGTGCTTTAGTTAGTCATTTGAATAATAAAATATAACATCAAATGACGTAATATAACGTACATGAGTGTAATTCGATCATCGGACACAGAGCTCTTCAACAGGAAGGACAAAACACTGTGGTTCATAAACTGATCTTGCATATTAAAAAAAAACCCCTAATTTTACTCACACTGTGTTTATCATACCTTGGACTTTAACACGCTAAGAGCCACTAGTCCACAGGCTTCAACACGGAACTGAACTGAACACTAAACTTTTGGACTGGGACTAATATCCTGTGAAACTAGACTAGAATTATTATTTACTAAAATATAACGAGGAGTAGAGAGAATAAAATGTCTCCTATAAATGATTTGCAAGGTGGAAGATGTTTGGGAAAATGAAATATTTGTGATTAAAACTCCCCAAACGTCAGTGCATACACAGTGAAAAAGGAACACTGAAACCTGAGCTCTTTTTTGTTGTATCATCATGTAAACAATCTTAAAATTAGCCTGTAATATTTAAATGTTATTGCCATGACATATATTGCAATGTAAAGTTAAGGATTATAAATTAGTTTATTTAGATATAAAAGCTTAAAGCATCTACTTACTCTACTTACTGCAGAGTAAAAACATTTTATTATTAACAGTGTTTTTTTTTCATTTAATCCTGATCATTTATATTTGATTTAAAACTATTTCCCACAAACCAAATCCTGACACGGTCAAATTTGACAGGGCGGGATGTGAGTTTCCCTCAGGGACCACATATTACTTTGAATCCACACTTCAAATACCTAAGAAATTAGTACTACTCAGGACTATCTCCTAGTAGATCAAATATTGATTTTTTTTTTCTCCACCACATAAATATACTGACTAAACTTTACCACCGAGGCGGGGGATCCATCCCCCTGGTCTATTACAAAGAGCTCAATTACAATAGTGGTCAAGTTATGTTTCAGCGCTTTAATGAGCCCAGCTTTAGATCCGTCATGGGACATCTGTATTATTACACAAGACAGCGGAAAGGCGGAGGCTAACACAATCTGAGATTATTCCTGGCAGGTTAATTCACCTGACACTGACAAAACGAATGAAGGCAATTTTGCAAAAATAATAAAGTAAAAGTAAAGGCCTGGTCGAAGAAGTGTTTTACTCCTTAAGACAATTGCTTTCATTGCACTAATAAAGCTTCACGGCTGTGGGCCGCTCTGGTGGCCACTAGGAGTGGAAGGGATCAGTGGATTTCGCTGAGACCTAAATATGAGCCCATTACCTATAATTAATGAGCGGATTCCAAACAGCATGTAGTTCATGGGGAGATCAATGAGAAGGCTGGGAGTGGAGAGCGATGGCAGCTGCAGACATGAAACCTCGCTCGTTGGCATGAATTAAGAGATGAATTAAACATAAACATCCTTATTAAGAGTTTCCTCGACACCTTCAAATGGACTAATGAGCATTTAGCTGCAAAAAGGTACTTAGGTTGAGCCACGAGATTGCTCAAGCATATATCCCTGCTTCAGCAGACATCGTTTTTCCCGGTGTGAAAAACAAACAGAAACGGCCAACAAGCAACTGCATTTGAATCTCCACTTAAAGTTAATGAGAATATGTGTGCTGGTAAAACTTTTTACTTTTTAACAACTGAGCTTGCCAGGTTCTCCGTGACCTACCTGCGACCACTGAAGCCGGCGGGGCACTGGCACTGGCCGGTGATGTGGTGACACACCCCACCGTTGCGGCAGGAACAGTCTTTGCTACAGTTGATGCCGTACTTGCCAACAGAGCAGGGTTGAGCACAGACTGAACCCTGAAAAAAAAAAAAAACAACCAACAAAAAAAACAATCAATCAAAATGACAGCGTTCCTGCTCTGAAGTGCTCCGGGCTGAACTCTCACACTTTTCCTGTTGTACCAAACACACATCCACTGCTGAAGACACAAGTCCATAACTCCAGTTCAAACAAAAGGAGAGCTTTCCTTCAAGTGCTTTTACCAAAGGATGACGCTACAGTCAGGGTTTATTTTTCCAGCTGTAGATGGTAAGGCTCAGTCGACATTACTTTACTGAGTGCGGCAGTTTTTAAACACAGTGGTCACCAAGTTGTCTATCACACTCCTATTTATCGGACCTGTCCTTGTTTCCGTTCATGCTCTGTGCATCATAATGGCCTCGGAAAGATCCTGACAAGTGTACTGCGTCCTTACAAAAATCAATGTTTGTACAGGCAGCCATGTACCTATGTTTTTTGTTTTCAGTAACCACAACACCAGTCCTAGCCGTCATCCAAACCAGCTGTCCCTCAGGACTGCGGCATTAAGGGACTCACTAAATACCACTATGTCCTGTTTGTCCTGCAGCTCTGGTCGCAACAATCGGAGAATTTCAATTTATGTCTAATAGGGAGTCTTTGAAGAAGTTCCTTCAACTTTATCACTACATCAAAGCGGTGGGATCAGAGCCACGCTGCTTTGACCACAACAGTGGTGTCTGATTGGAGCAGATTAGATCCAGGGTAAACACACACACACACACACACACCTGTTTCTTTATTGCTCTTTTAAAAACACACACAGGATAAATGAGTATCGGTTCCTTTTATGTCACACAGTGCTTGGTGGTATGATACTGGGGACATTAAAAAATGTAGAATATGGACTCACCTTCCTTCAACCAGGGTCCAGTCGTAATTGACTCTTTTTTTTTTTTCGAGTTTTAGTCGCATTGCTCGAAAAAGAAATACAAATAGTATACACAAAAGCCAAATCCAAGAATGAACGTTAAATCCGGGAAGTGCATACTGCAGTAACGTAACAACAAGTTCCTGATTCCACATCACTGAATCCATTCATCATCAGTGTCACTTCTAAACAGCTCCTTCAGCTCCAGAGGACAGCTGGCCTGTGGTCAGACTCACCATTAGCATCAGTTCCAGTTAATCAGTTTCTGTTCTGCTGCTTCTTTACTGATTATGGCTGCAAACTTCAAACTCTTTAACTTCTACACCATAGATTTTTCTCTCTGCTCCCATTGTAATGGTGTCCTTAATGGTAGTTGAGTTGTCACTGGTTTAGACGCTGCCCCTTTGTGGCCATAGGTGATATTTTTGATGTTTCTTTGTAACATTAGTCGCAGGACCTGCCACGCTACTGCAAAAACATTTGTTTTGTTTCTGAACACTTTTTTTAAAACATACCGTCCATCCAGCAGGGCAGGAACAGTCCCCGGTTATATGGTGACACGTTCCTCCGTTCTGACACGGGCACCGCTTCTCACACTGAGGCCCATGACTGCCGGAAGGACAGCGTTCTCCACAGCTGTTAGAGAGAAGGGTGAAGTACTTCAGACATATTCCCTGTACGAACAGACGGAGTAAATGGTTGGACATTTTGCTGCCGTTACTCACAATGCTCCCGTGTACCCCGGTGCACAGATGCACTCTCCCGTCTCGTGGATGCAGGTGGCACCGTTGAGGCACTGGCACTGCAGCTGGCACGCTTTCCCATAATAACCTTGCTCACAGGGGTCTTCACAACGCCATCCCTGGTAACCATCAGTGCAGACACAGGCCCCAGTGATGGGGTTACACTTGGCTCCGTTATGGCACTGGCAGCGGTTACTGCAGTGAGGTCCCCAGTAGTCACTCTCACAACCTGAAGAGGGCAGTGGCGTCAGACTCATGAGGGCCACCAACTAAAGTCACCCATCAGACGTATGTGAAGAATGTGCTCATGTACTCAGAAAGGCTGTTAGGTGGCTGCTGTGGACCTGGGCTCTCCTACTCAGTACTTCACTGTGTGACCCTGGTCAGGCTGATATGGAAGTCTTCAGTCACCACCAGTATATTCAACACTATAACACAGAGTGTTCAGCTAAGCACAAAAACACTTCATCTTAACTGGATAATTAGGCCTTTTTATTCACCGCAGCCAAATTGTAGAATAAGTATCGTAACAACTTGTAACTAAATTTAATTGTGAAAACACACACCCACACATCACTGAGACACACACACACACACAAACAGAGGAAGCGAGGATATATCAGCAGTATTAATATTCACCCCTCTTTTCCGGCTTCGTTTTTTTTTTAATAAATGGAGCTGCAGCTTTAGTGTTTTTCGATTTCTACTTTTTATTGACCTCCACTACTTTGCCAAATCATTTTAAGAAAATCAGATTCCTTTGCATACCACTGGAGGGAGCCCAAGTACCATCAGTGGTACGGGTACCGTAGTTTGAGAACCACTCTCCTGGAACAGACAAGTAATTTTGTAATTTTGAAATATTTTTATGTATTTATATATATATATATATATATATAAACCAAAGGACACAAGTTTAGTCACTGTGCGTGTGTGTGTGTGTGTTTTTTAAGCTACTCTGTCTTCCTCCCACTGTCTGAAACCACCAAGGTTAGGTTAATTATGCATTCTAACTGACCATGTTTACAAGTGAGTTTGTAAACAGTTGTTTGTCTCTTTATATGCCTCTGTTGGTGAACTGTCCAGGGTGTAGCCTGATGAATACAGGGGTTGACTCCTCTGTTGTAGAAAATGGATGAATGAACTTAATTTAATTGGAATTTTCCTAAGTTTTAATGGTGACTAAATGTGGCCCACACCATATGTGTAGTTCCAACCCACGGCCCTGACATGCTGAAATCATCCGCAGAGACTCTTTACTGTCACATAAATCTCATGGACGCAGTTTATTTATAGGTAAGTTATGGACATTATACTAAACTGCGATTCTGTGGTTTAATTATTAGCCATAAACATTTTATTTAGTCTTTTAAAAAATTAAAGCAGCCCTCTTCGGGAGAAAATGATACCCCATTGGGAGCCAGACTCAATAAAACATTTATTTCACGAGGTTTTGAAAGAGTAGTAGATTGTTAACGTTCAGGTTTTTACACGAGGAATTCCTTCATCCTGGTCCTAAACAGTTGGTAAGCGAAGGAAGACGATGAACGTGAGCCAGGAGAAGAAGTCGGAGTTTCACCCCTCACTGGGTTCCATTCATCACCAAGCTAAACAATAACTATCAGTCACACAAAGAGATAACATGTAAAGTCTGCACAGAAAAGACCAGGGCAGGAATCAAAATACACACAAACACTCCTCAGGTGTGTGTGTGTGCAACGCTTCTCAGAGACAAATACCAAGGTGGCAACACTGGAAAAGAAAATTCACATCTCCTGCCAATATGAGCTTTCATCAACATCAATCAAGCTGTAACTCCAGCTGCAGGTAGAAGGCAGAGAACGCTCCTGCTCACTGAAAAGTACATGTTTGGACGGTGAAGATTGGCTTCTGTATTTTCTTTTTAAAGAAATATTACATAATTCTCATCTTTCTGACAGACTGACAATGTTAAGAGAATAATTAATTGGCTGCAGCCCTGATTTCTTTGGCTGCTATTAAAGCCTATTTGACTATGACCAGTGGGGGAGAAGAGGTTATCAAAGTTATCCCTGACAGATTATCCTGACTATATTCTGCTTCAAAGACGTGCTGCAATAGCACATCGTCTTCATAATCATCACTTTACCACTTGTAATCTTCAACAAACTACTTTTGTTTGCCACAGGGGGCGCATTGTTAGGACCTGAGCAGTGACGCACACGACAGAAGGGAACAGCAATCAGTATCAGCACTCTATTATTGTGAGCACGGAATAGTTCTTACAGTTATTTTCCTCTGTCAAAACTAAAAACATTTCGGGCTTGACCAAAATCCAGAGAAGATTGGAGTTTCAAAAGTGAGGGACTGGCCCCTTTAAGGGCCCTTTACAGGTTGTTTTCTTTCTGTCAGTTAATATTTTCTTTAACTGTGCCACCGCGGGGAGATGGAAGACTCATCACAGCAGCAGCCACAAATATATTTGAATGTTGTTTGTATGAAGTGTGACCACGACATGGACCAGTGACCTGTCAGAATTGTTCCCTGCCCTTTTTCCGTGTCCTCTTGGTTGGTGATCCTTGCAGGGATTAGGCAGCAGAATATGGATGAATATAAAGTAAGGATGTTCTCTAAAAGAATGTTTCGAATTTGAATCAAAGTTGGACTAACATTTTACATTTCCTCAACTGTTTTTGCCCTTCACCATTTTTTTAATCAGGTCACACGAGCTAAAAACTCCTTGAACCAAAAACAAAGACCGGCTATTTTGAATGAGCGCCATTTCTGTTGATGCTCTTCCCGTACTGTCGACATTTTCCCACTGGAGATTTACGACAGTGACTTTCAAATATGACTTAAAGTTATTCTAAGACCAAAATATAAACAAAGGTTTGGAAACAGTTTTAGGCTTTCTGGCCTAATTCAACCCAATGCTACTGCTGTATATCCTACGCATGCGTTCAATTTGACATCCTTCTATCTATGATATACATTAATATACAAAACATATACATATAACACACACATACATACACCTATATATACATATACACACACATATATATATAGGCCCTGTGTTTACCTCCCAATCGGATCAGAGCAGATTATAAAATCACTCACGCCTGTTATGTAATGTTATCTTTCTCAAATGTTTTACAGCGCCTAGTAACTTGGAAAATATTTGGCTTTCAAAGTACCAAAAAATATGACCAACATTAAAATGCAGCAGTGCAGGCCTACCCTGTTCAGCTATGCACAGGTTACTGGAAATGTATTCCTAATAAGATTGTTCGACTATTTATCAGCCGAAGCCAGACGGTACAATGAAGTAGCATCACAACTGACGCTTAAATTAAACTCACACACACACACACATACATAAAGGTACACATATAGACTTGGTTGTGTGCTGCTCGGTTCAGCTGATTGGCTTTTGCCCACTCTGCTCTCTGCAGGGCTGTTTGTAACGTTAACATTTTCCCCTTGATTCTCACTTCTCTCTTTGATGGTTCCAGTTTAGAGCCACGGCTGCAGTGTTTTTGAGCCCTTCATTTTATGTACCTCCACTTTTGAGCCAATGCAGTAAAAAAAGAAAAGAAAAAAGAGGTCTCTGCAAAGAGCCACTAGAAGTCGTGTGAGAAGCATCAGTGGTATGTGCACCACAGTTTGAGAAACACTGAACACTTTTTTTTTACCTCACATCCTGTAATGGCTTTTGAATTACATTATAATTATCATTAATAATAGTTGATGATATACAATTTAAAGCACTCTGATCTCATTTTTATTATTATTTTTTATATAATCAATGGTTAAAATCTGTATCGGTTTGAGTAAAGTGGATAATGTGTCTAAAATGAATATAATTATACTTTTTCAGACCAAGGTGCTCGTCATTCCTGCAGCCTTTTGTTCCAAATGCCATGTTTAAATTGATCTTTTTCCAAGAACTACTCTTCATAAGTAAAGCTATTATTTTAAAAGACTTTGACTTAGTTCTGTGTAAATTACTGAAAAAAAAACCCACCTGTACGTGAATGCGCAGTAATGTTAAGCTGCAGGAGTTCTTTTTGTCATATCTATTGTATAATTGGCATTGGCAAGAACATTAGGTTATATAAGCTAGCTGCTTTACATGGGTTTAAATAAATGGCTGGGTGGTATGACTGAGTAGTACCTCAGGGAGCGATGTAAAATGAGCAATTTCCACATTCCTCATGGGACGGTTTTGTTTGGAAAAACTCGATATGCCCATAAACGGCAAGCACAAAGCTAATCCTCAAGGTTAAATGAACAACCATCTCTTTAATGTGAGGAAGAGGCGGCAGTGATCTGGGCTCAGGGCTGTCTCCCCTCTCACTGGGGTCCAGTTGGTGTGAGGATCTAGTGGTGATTTAAGTGATTGGTAAGGCCTCGTGTCTCTCCATCAGTGGCAGCCGCAGCAGTAGCTGTATCACATAAAAGACCAGCTTGAGACCAGCACAGCACAACAACTCAGACAGAGAATATTCTCATATTGATTTTCACATCATCACAGACTGAGTTGTAAATGTGAAAACGTTAACGCCTCCTACTTGTATGCCCGCTTTGTCAGAGCTTTCATCAGGCCGAGTAGGAGTTTAATGAAGCCTGTTTCAGGCTCGGCACTGACGTCTGTTTTTCCGTGTTCACAGCAGGAAGATGATCAGCCTTTCCTTGATACAGACAGGTTTGTCCTGAGGGGGGGTCCAGCAACACCGCGCTAGAGCAGTATTACCTCCACGGTTTGACAGACTATAGGCCATATTACAGGGCTCATGTTGAATTGATCTAATCTGCCGCTGGCTGCCAGCCTGCCATGAACCAGTTCCCTAAAGGTTGAGTTGCCGCCACGCAAACAACCCAGGAACATTAAATCTGAGGTGTGTGCTGGCGGCCAGGGTAATGGATGAGCAGTTTAGCTGCCAGTTGGTTTAGCAGTCTATAAGTACTCATCAGAGCTGCCTCAGCACAGCAGAAAAACAAGCAGTTCACTAAGACGCCGCAGCTCTCAGCTTCACGCAGGCGTCGCCAGAGACAAACTCACGTTTTAGTGAATTTATTAACAATTATTTCAGATATTTCTGCATAGCTTAGTTAAAGACTTAAAAACCATAGAGAAGACTCACAGCGGCAGGAGTGGCCGTTAGCCTCCACAGTCGTACTTCTGTGATTACAAACGCTCAGGTGGTGGTAATGAAGCTAATTCTACCTCTGCAGGGACACTGCTGC